GCAACCAAGAGAAACGAAGCCTACAGTCACACTAACCTCAACCGCACAATGAACGAGGAACTCTATGACACATGTTTACATACATATATAGGGACCTCCTGGAGCTCTTGAGTAAGTCACTCAATGGAGTGACTTACTCAAGCTATGTGGAGGAAAGCACTGTTGTGGAAACCAACTACTCTTCTCTAGTTGGGATACTTACAATGTTTTGCCTTTTATGGATGAGAGATAAATGTTTTGAAATGACACAGAGCAGCCACATCTGGTACACATAGAGTGAGCACAAAAAAATGACATACAAGTCGAGTGCAGTAGTCAGCGCAACACAAATTTTGGGCCATTCACTCTAGCTGGCGGTCAGTGCAGCACACGCTGCCGCATCCTACTCTCATTCCTACTCTCATCTATGGTCACAAGCTCGGACTGAATGGATGATTTTGCAGATACAAGTGGTAGCAATGATTTTTCTATGAGGTGTGGCTGGGCTTTCTTTCAGAGCAGCTGTTAAATTGAAAGAGGTGCCCTGGATGATCAAAAGTCTTGACATCTCTACTCAGAATGCTTCTTGGTCTAGATATCAGCTAGCTACACTGGAAAGCCCCCAAATTGGCTATTGTTCCCAAAAGGCTTTTCGCTGATGGGTTCCCTGATTGAACAAGATCTGCTCAACTGTTTTGATGTTAAATACAAAAGCAAAAATAAATATGTAGTATCTTCTTCCATGATAATGTCTTTTGCAAATTTGTCTTATCACAGACTTTCTGACTGTGGAATTTCAAAGACTCACTGTGAAGTCTTGGCCTCAGCCCTGAAGTCCAATCCCTCCCATCTGATAGAGTTAGATCTGACCTTCAATGAGCTGGAGGACTCGGGACTGAAACTGCTCTCTGTAGGACTGGAGAGTCCAAACTGCAGACTGAAGACCCTGAAGTCAGTACCCTGACCGTTGTTGTTGTTTTTAATACATTTACTTTATAAATTTGGATATACATTTTCAGGATTTTCCAAAACAACTAAAACAGTACATAAAAAGTACACAAAGTAAAACCTTGCTTTGGTTAGTATCCTTTTCTGTGCTTAGAAAGTGAACAACACCATTTTGTACCATTTCAGACTAGCTAAAATATGTAACAGACTGCTCTTAATGGGGGGGGGAAATTGTTTGGAAGCATCTACCAGTGAAATTTTAGCCAAAGCTTAGTAATCATACCTGCTAGGGTTAACCGATCCTACATAGATAGGAGGAATTAAAAAATCAAAGTAATCCAATCTAATCATCACTGAATGCCTGCAAGATACAAAACCATCATTAGAGAAATGCTAAGTCGTTATTTCAGTTAGTGATTTTTTTTTTATGATACCTTTTCCCTGAATGAGTTTTATATCTGTGCATTACATACTATAAAGTGATATGGCACTACGTTTAAAACCTGAGCATGTCATTAGGTCAGAAATAATTGTATGTGTCTTTTTCTTTCTTCTTTTGTTATTCAGACTGTGGCACTGTGGATTGTCAGAGATTAGCTGTGCTACTCTGAGCTCAGCTCTGAAGTCCAACCCCTCCCGCTTGAGACATCTGGATCTGAGTTACAACAAGCTGCAGGATTCTGGAGTAAAGCAGTTGTGTGGTTTTCTGGAGTGTCGACCCTGTCAACTGGAAATTCTGAGGTCAGCTGTGTTTTCATATTAAACTGTGTTTTCAGAATGTAATGATGATCTTACAGGTTCAATTCACAAAAAGTCATGTTCAA